CTAAAACAAGTAGTAGGCCAATGTTCACGACAAGTCACACAATTTAAAAAACATTAATGTATTTTGAAAAAAAACGGGACCAATTCAATTGGCCACTTAGTCAAAAACCTTTTAGTATAGTCCATTTATCGATCACAACATGAAAATAATTTCATTCACGTCTATCAAACAAACGGTGGAGGATGAATTCAATTTAACTATTTTTTTTCCAGCTAATCAACAATAAAAACAATGACAGCCAATCAGAATCCACCTGACTTTATAGAGCTGGAGCATTTAAAGCGGCAGATGTCATAACTGCAGCATTTTTATATTAAACAACTTAAGTTGGTGTGGACGCTAATATAATTAGCATTCTTGATGTGAACAAGCCTTAACTGTAACTTTAACCCTACGTGTCTCTTTTAGCTAGCAAGGATGAACACTGTCTTTGAGCTATTGTTCTTGGCCTGCGAGCGTTTAGCTTATTAATTACACGTTGGCCTTGCGTCCACCAGCGGCATCTACGAGCACAATGAAGCAAGCCCTGTTTAGCTAACAGTGGGTATCTCTGTCTGTGTCTCTCGCTCTCCCTCTCTCTCCGAGGATTCTAGGCTCTAGTCAAGAGCCAGAAGCGTAGAGCGTGCCAGCGGCGTCGTTTCAGCACCGTCCAGAGAGATGGTAACAGACACCGCTGGCGCAAACAAACACACACACATAGACACACATGCCACGAGCCGCAAGAACACCTGAGCTCTCTTCGCTGCTGGCACGCAGAGCCGATAACCTCTGAGAAAGAGAGAGAGCTGAGGTGAAACGTGCCATGTTTGGATAGATAACATCGGCGGGCAACGGTTCAGTGGTTTTAATCGGGTGGATCCGCAGACGAAGACGTGAGATAATGTCAATCCAGGTCTGATGTTATCCTAAGAGTGAAGACAATAGGAATAATTTACCAAAGGACCAAACATTAGCATATTACACGTTAGGTGTGTCATTTTTGAGCAAGCACTAGCGTCATTCCCATTTTTTCCAAACAAATCAAACATTCCCACCAAACTGAGACTCACGAATTTGGTTAAGACAATGTTGCTAGGTTGTTTTTTGGGCAACAGCATTTATATCTCAGTGTTTATGATGCTTAAGATTTGATTATTTAAAAAACACATTTTTTTTTTACATTTAAAAAATGTCTTCAATCGTCATCCAAGTATTTTAAACGTTAACGACATGTTTGGAAAAATACTCAACGGACCTCTTAAAATATACCTAGCCGACATGTTACTTACATGGATCTTCGTATGCTGAAACATCCGATATTTTCTATTCTTCTTTATGTTGGAAAGAAGTTGTCGTTTCTGGTGGCTATGCCTTATTAACTATGGATGCACCGAAATTAAAATTTTTGGCCGAAGCCGAACAAAATGAAACACTGAGCCGAAGGCCGAATACCGATACACGGTTTTTCACATTTTTTTCACATTTTGCCAATTTTTTCACCATTGCATAAATTAAATAGCCAAAATGTGCTTTTTACTGTTCTGTCTTGCTTTTCAAAGAAAAAAATCATTTACAAAACAACTATTTAAAAATATTTACTTAACGCTGAACATTTTTTAACATTCTAGCAGACATTATACCAATAAAACACAACTTAACTTAAAATTAATAAGTTATTAATTTCTTGAATCAGGCATGTATTTTTTACCGTACAAATAAATGCAGCCTTGCTGAGCAGAAGAGACTTCTTTTAAAACATTATTTTCATTATTATTTTTTTATTTTACAGAACAACAGTAAAATTACAATAATAACATTTATTAATGTTGATGGAGTTCTTGCTTTTTCTCAGCTTTTATTTTGGCAGAAACCCGCAGGAAGACCTCAGTACTTCTTTTTGTTGACAAATGATTTTCATTACGAATTTGGGAAGACGTTTGTTGCACATATCGCATTGTCACATGCCTTGTAAAAATTCATAAAAATGTTACTGAGCAGCTGACGAGTAACAGTCTCTCGCTGTCGGTGCTTGTAATGATTTTTTGCGTCTTTCTCGGACAGCTTTAAATGTTTCCACACTGCCGTCATGTTTGCTGCATTAGCGCGTGCCTCTATTTGATCGCGTCACGTCATTGTTCGGTACAATTTATTCTGTCTTTTCGCTTATTCGGCCGAACACCGAAAGAGCTTTTTTCGCTATTTTCGGCCGAATAATTTCGGTTGCCGAACATTCGGTGCATCCCTAGTAATCCTCAAACCCTGGAGAACTTGAGAGTCTGTATCAAAGCACATAACCGGAAATCAGTAGGTTTGACAAGTTAACTTACAAACTTCACATCACAATATCGTCCGATATTTAGTACTGCGCAAACACTACTTGTTGGGACCCTGACCGAATAGAGACAGATCAGAGAAACTCTGCGGGGACCAAACAACAGACATTCGCCCTGGCCTGGAAATGAGGCCCTGGAGACAGCAGCCAATCAGGATCCCTCAAACAGCTCCATCCATCCTCACCGAGGCCTCGTGTGCGTCACCAGCCCACGTCTTGTTTGCTGCATTAGCGCGCGCCTCTATTTGATTGCGTCAGTTCGGTACAATTTATTCGGTCTTTTCGCTTATTTGGCCGAACACGAAAGTGTTTTTTTTCGACTGAATCATTTCGGTTGGCGAACATTCGGTGCATCCCTATTATTAACATTAATTTATCATAGTTAAAAATGATGGCAATGAACTTGGAAAAATACTTTATGGTCAGATTGAAAAAACAACAAGGTCCAAGAACTCAACAACAAACAAAGTGTAGCTAGCTTACGTTGATCTTTCTGCATTGAAAATAACATTTGCTACCATACGTTTTTTATGACTTATGTTTTAAATGGACGAATTTATTGGCGCAAATGTTAGATGCTAGTTAAATTCTAATAAAATCTAATTGAGAAAACAATGAGAATCCTAAACAAGAAAAAGGATAGCGATCACATTTTAAAAACAATAATGAAGACAATATAAACAAAGCAAATAGTTAGCTAAATATCCAGAAAAATAACAAGGTTCTTTAAATGTAGGTAGCTGATATTTTTACGTAAAAAATTACAATATTTTGTATCCCTCTTTGTGCTAGACACATTTGCTTCCAAAACAAACTCAACAAATAGACTCTCAGATCTTCTAATAAACAACTTTGGGCCAATCAGAAGACAAATTCAATCGTATATTGGTTGTCAACTGAGAGAAGCAACTTTCAAACTGCAACAAAGAGACGTATTCTGACACTGCTGGGAAACAAAACACTTTTGAGGTTAACAGCAGGTGACCTATGAACAAAAAGCCCTTCCATTTCTTCGAAATATTTGTTTCTTTAAACATCAAATGCACCCATTGAAATGAACTCAGCAAGAACGAGCAGAAGGAGAATGTTGTCTGATGAGTTCACACGTACACTCGCCAGTTTACAGTTCCAACATAAAGACCACAATGAGTCTTTGTGCGGCCCTCTCAGACGGTATTACTTAGATTTGTCATCATGTTGATGGACTATAAAGAGTCGTTTGATAGCTCTGAGAAGCAGGACCTTTCTTGCTTTTCTTCGCTAGCTGCCAGGCCCACTCAGTCACTCGTCAGGGAATAATAGTGCTTTGGAGAGCTTGGGACTGCGTGTAAAGATCCGAGCTGCTGTCATCCTGAACTATGACTTACAATTGAAAATGTTGGTTTGAGTTCTCAAAGACATCTACAGCATGTTGACCGTGTCTGTTAAGCAAACAGAGACCTAAAACGACATTTCAACATTTTGTTAACACACTGCAAAACTCGATGCTATAAAAATAGCATCTTCTAGATGGTTTTAGCACATTGTTAAGTGGTTGCTAAAGGTTTTCCAGGTGGTTTTAATGTTAAGTGGTTGCTAAATGGGATGTTTTGACCCAGCTATTGGGTTGTTTTGACCCAGCGGTTGGGTTCAAAACAACCCAACCGCTGGGTCAAAACAACCCAATAGCTGGGTTTGTCCCTTTTTAACCCAGCGCTGGGTTATATTTAACCCAGCATTTTTTTAGCGTGTGCATGCCAAAAAAAACAAAACAAAAAAAAAACAATACTACTGTGGTAATTGTTAAAAAAACGCAGTATTTCCTGTGAACATATCCAAAAAACAAAGTATTACTGTGGTAAATATTCAAAGCCACTGCATTGTAACTGTACATGTACCAAAAAAAAAAAAACCTTGATACTACTATGGTAAATGCATAGAAACATAATTCTAATGTACATATCCAAAAAACAAAAAAACAAAAACATGGTTGTACAAGAAAATGTTGTATTACTGTGGTAAATATCTTGTTCTGTCCAGGCTGGACTATTCTGCCGTGCAAAGGCAAAAGACCGTAACTTCGATTTAAAAAAAACTGCCTTCTCTCAGATGGCACAGTGCGTACAGAACACACACGCGCATAGAGTTTAGCATCAAACTTCAATACTGCTAAGTCAAACTTTGCTTTAGTGACAAGCTACATTAACTCTCGGTTTCGTCACTACAACCTGAAACAACGCTACATTATAAACACAGTAAAAATCAATAAGCGTAACGGTCAACCACAAAAACCGCCTCAGCAGAGAACCTCACATCAAAGAAAAGCAGTTTATGTTTCCACTTTCGATTAACAAATCAAACAGTATTTGACAATAAATATCCCGTTTGACTACAAAGCTACCACTCATAATATAGCCAAGCCCTTTCTTCTAACAAATACTTGGTGAAACTACAAATAGTTAGTTTTCTCCCACGGTCGTTAATCATCTTGGAGCTGAAGGAAAATCAATGGGATCCAATAAAGAAGGCAGGAGCTGTGAAAGAAAACCATGTATGTGTGTGTGTGTGATGCATATGAGAGTGTGTGCCGTGATGTGTAAAGAGTGCTGTTTACTCGGAGGTCTGCGGAGGGCCGTGGACTTTGGAAATGGGGGCAGTCAAGGAGAAAGATTACCAGAAAATACTTCAATACGAGAAAGAGCATCTGTACCTGCCACGTTGACTTTCTCTGTGTTGACGGGGTTCGGTCCAGGGGTCCCGGTTCCGTTGGTCAGGTTGGTACTGGTGCCGTTGTACATGATATTGTCCACTTTAGACTCCAGCTTTGATAATCTCTGCATTATATTATCCAGAAGAACAGCTAGAGTCTTCTTCAGGTCTGCACAACAGAATATGACATACATATTAGCTAGAACATAACAATAAAGCAGAGAAATGTATATATTTAGTTTTTAGTATTTATATTATATAAATATATATATAATATGATTATTAAATAATACAATAATTACTACTTTCAAAAAAGAAAAAAATATCTTTATACAAAATAATAATGTTACATAATACTAAAATAAGTTAAAAACTGTATAAATATATTTTAGTTTTGTATTTTATACACATTATATATACAAATTTATCAAATATATATTATATTTCAAACCAAAAAGTATTCTACAAATAAAAATACACAACTTGTATATATAAAAATTAAAATAAAAAAACAATATTATACTATAAATAATAATAATAATAATCGGCAGGGATCCCAGACCAATACAATTAGTGTGCCTCCTCTATTTTAAAACCCACGAGCCGCCACTGCTAATAGGCACAACGCCCATTTAGATGCTCAATCCACACACTTAACCGAAAGAGGCCAACACACCTCCAGCATTTCAAACAGGTTTTAATGTGACTCCATCTGAAACACAAGCTTCCTGCAGGAATAAAATACCATCCATACGCTCAATAACCTGCTTTGGAGGTGTTGATGGAAGCGATTTACTAGATTTATGCTTTCATAATCGTACTGAATATTATCCAGATGTAGTTTTAGATAAAAAATTTGATTTTGTCACCTTTTTGCTCAAAATTATGCATTTTTATGAAACCTACCTATATTCAAGTGTTGATAAAAAAAGAATGCTTTAAGCTAGAATAAAACGGATTTTTTGTTTAAAAGTAGAGGCTCTGATCTTTATTTTGGTTTAATGCATATTCATGTTTAAGGACATCAGATTTTAGTGAAAATCATCAAAATCGCTGGCGGTGGCTGGCAACTTTTTTTCAAAAATGCTGGCGAGGAAAGAGTTAAAATTTAGCACAGATTCCTTCCACATTCAATTCATCCAGGATACTTGAACCGAGAACAAACACGTTGATAAACTTGTTTCCAGTTTAAAACGCCTTGAAATACTTGTTCCTGTTTCTCACTCACATCTCATAAAAGAATGAAGGACATAATAGAAATGTACTTCTCATGATGCACGACTAGTGAAGCCTGGCCCAATTTCCCCATCCAATCAAATCCCAAATGATCCCATCCCATTACTTCTTGCTAAACACTCTTTTTCATGCAGAAATATGTCACATTATGGAAGTTAAACTCGTTGCGAATGTCTCAAACTCATTTTATCGCTTTCTCTCTGGCTCAAAAAATAGTCCAAATCCAGCAGGATTTTCTCTGACAGATGGAGACAAGAGAGTATAATCCATATTTCTATGTCACTGAGTGTCGTAGCACAGCAAAATATACTAGAGGCCATCAATTTAGATGCTCAATCCACACACTTAACCGAAAGAGGCCAACACACCGCCAGCATTTCAAACAGGTTTTAATGTGACTCCATCTGAAACACAAGCTTCCTGCAGGAATAAAATACCATCCATACGCTCAATAACCTTTCATCTTGATAATACACAATAAAAGATGACTATGCTCTAATGCAGAGAGTGACAGAGGAAAAGTGCAGTTTGGAATGATCCAAATGCAATTATGAACCAGAATCTCGAGATTCATTGAGTAGAGATTCCTGACTAAGTGATTTATTAGCAAACAAACTGCATGTAATAAAATCAATAACAATACAGAAGGACAAATAAGCTTTATTCTTTAACGATGGTTCATTCCTGGGTGACCACAATTACTGTCATTAACTAGATTCCTTTCACATTCAATTCATCCAGGATACTTGAACCGAGAACAAACACGTTGATAAACTTGTTTCCAGTTTAAAACGCCTTGAAATACTTGTTCCTGTTTCTCACTCACATCTCATAAAAGAATGAAGGACATAATAGAAATGTACTTCTCATGATGCACGACTAGTGAAGCCTGGCCCAATTTCCCCATCCAATCAAATCCCAAACAATCCCATCCCATTACTTCTTGCTAAACACTCTTTTTCATGCAGAAATATGTCACATTATGGAAGTTAAACTCATTGCGAATGTCTCAAACTCATTTTATCGCTTACTCTCTGGCTCAAAAAATAGTCCAAATCCAGCAGGATTTTCTCTGACAGATGGAGACAAGAGAGTATAATCCATATTTCTATGTCACTGAGTGTCGTAGCTCACAATGATGAGGACATCATGACGTCATGATCACTAAATCCCTCAGAGAGCAGTAAAGCCTTCAGGACGGGCCACATTCATGTGATATTAGTTTTTTTCCCAAAAGGACATGTGATTTTTTTATCTTATTTGTCTCACAAGCTGCTAGACAACTGTATAAAACAAGTTTTGTGGGAATCCTTATTATCTTATCGATAGTATGAGATCATGACATGTTAAACATGAATTTAAACATGAATTTTACATTTTTTTACATTTACATTTATTCATTTAGCAGACGCTTTTATCCAAAGCGACTTACAATTGGGGAATACATTTGAAAAGTGCAGTTTGGAATGATCCAAATGCAATTATGAACCAGAATCTCGAGATTCATTGAGTAGAGATTCCTGACTAAGTGATTTATTAGCAAACAAACTGCATGTAATAAAATCAATAACAATACAGAAGGACAAATAAGCTTTATTCTTTAACGATGCTTCATTCCTGGGTGACCACAATTACTGTCATTAACTAGATTCCTTTCACATTCAATTTATCCAGGATACTTGAACCGAGAACAAACAGATAAACTTGCTTCCAGTTTAAAACGCCTTGAAGTACTTGTTCCTGTTTCTCACTCACATCTCAAAAGAATGAAGGACATAATAGAAATGTACTTCTCATGATGCACGACTAGTGAAGCCTGGCCCAATTTCCCCATCCAATCAAATCCCAAACAATCCCATCCCATTACTTCTTGCTAAACATTCTTTTTCATGCAGAAATATGTCACATTATGGAAGTTAAACTCATTGCGAATGTCTCAAACTCATTTTATCGCTTACTCTCTGGCTCAAAAAATAGTCCAAATCCAGCAGGATTTTCTCTGACAGATGGAGACAAGAGAGTATAATCCATATTTCTATGTCACTGAGTGCCGTAGCTCACAATGATGAGGACATCATGACGTCATGATCACTAAATCCGCAGTAAAGCAGTAAAGCCTTCAGGACGGGCCACATTCATGTGATATTTACATTTTTTTTCCGAAAAGGACATGTGATTTTTTTAATCTTATTTGTCTCACAAGCTGCTAGACAACTGTATAAAACAAGTTTTGTGGGAATCCTTATTATCTTATCGATAGTATGAGGTTATGACATGTTAAACATGAATTTTACATTTACATTTATTAATTTAGCAGACGCTTTTATCCAAAGCGACTTACAATTGGGGAACACATTTGGGGAATTTTCTCATTGTTTTGAAGGATAACCGTCTAAAATACAACAACCGATAATCAGTTTGACAAACAAAAAATTTTTAAACCGATATTCATTTCTATGAAAAAGCACTCAACAGCAATATTCACAGGTAAAGTAACAATTTATAAATTGTTTGGATAATAATTTTCAAGTTATTCAAGTTAAAATAGCATATAAATTATGCAAACAGCCTTAAAATAATTAAAATGTAAATCAAGACAGCTAGGTAAAACAAGTTTTATGGGAATAACAAAATCTAACAGACAATAATGGGATCAGGACATGGAAAACAAACACTGTCTTGCTGTTTTGAAGAAAAACAGCTCAACATACAATAACCGTTAAAACCGATAATCGGTTTGACCAATATTTCCTTTTACCGATATTCACGTATCCAACAACTATACTCACAGGAAAACTTAATTCCCAAATTGCTTGGATACCATATTAAAAGGTATATTTTACAAATAAAAAAAAGCTTAAAAAGTAAAAATGCCCTTAAAATGCAAATACAAAAAGATAAGCCCATAAGTAACAACAATAGTAATATTAATTTTTTTTTTATTACTATGATTAATAAAATATTAATTATGAATTATGTTTTGTTTTAATCTAATGTTCATGAATTTATTTAAACAAAAAAAGCAGAAACTAGGCCTATATTTAAAAATCGGTTCTGCATAGCATTTATCAGTTCACTTACATTTATAACAAATTCTTTTTAAAATAATAATAAAAAACATTCTTTAACATTGAACATGAAGAATAATACAATAAACAAATATTGGCTACAGGTACATTTAAATAAAATAAAAAAGTCTGAACAAAAATGTAAAAAAAAATATATAACTTTAACATGAAGAATAATACAATAAACAAATAAATATGTATAAAAACTACTACAAAAGCATAGAAAATTAAGAAAGGAAGGAATCTAAACTCTCCAGATCATTTTCAGTATTTCAAAGCTTATACCATCCTATAACAACAACCTAAAACCACCTTTGAGGACCATCATTATGCTTTTAAAGGTTACGATGGCATCCAACAATGTTGACACCGCTTCTAATGTAAAGGTAAGATGACCTTTAAATGAGCCTGACCCACATCTGAAAGACTAGAAAGCCACTGGGCTGTATTCGCGTTTTTACCATTCATATTACGGCGGTGAGTCATATCTGACCTTACACCCTCTGGCTGTCTCTTCCTCTAGCTCACTTCCTCACTTTCACTCTCACCGGATAATGCAAATTGATCTTTTGCTTCGGCCTGGTTTAATCATTTCTAGGTGTCTGTAACTGTCTCCTCACCTGTCTGTCTGTCTGTCAGTCTGTCTCGCTTATTAACTGCAAACTGGATACATTAACTGGATGCATTTCCTGGAGCTGCAGCGAGACGCGATGTAGACAGGAGACAATATACTGACCACGATTAGATTAGAGCGAGATATGGATCCACATTATAAACAAAAACCGCAGTTATGGGTTACAGGAAAAGCAGAAGCTGATCAGAATACAACAGTTGGACACACAGCAAAGTACAGAAGCAAAATAAT